AGCCTCGTGCACACAGACACTCAGCGCTCTTGCTCCGTGGGTCGGCGAGCCTAGATTCACCGATAAGTGCCCGGAGGCACCCCACTCCGTCAGGAAGCCTCCTGCACACAGGCACTCAGCTCTCTCGCTCCGTGGGTCGGCTCCAGCGCCATCCTGCTCTGGTCTCCTGGTTCTGCTGCTGTCGGTTCTCTGCTGCTGCTGGTCCTCTGTCACTGCTGTACTTCTATCCATTCACAGTTTTAAAACTGCTTCCACATTTTAGGTATCTGTTAGAGCAGCAACCCACTCTCAGTACCAAATTCTGTCTTAGTCATCTAGTGCTGCTACAACAGAAATACCACAAGTGGATGGCTTTAACAAAGAGAAATATATTTCTTCACAGTAAGGTAGGCCGAAAGTCCAAATTCAGGGTGTCAGCTCCAGGGGAAGTCTTTTTCTCTCTGTCGGCCTTCTTCTCTTTGGTGTTCCCCCGGACTAGGAGCTTCTCTGCACAGGGACCCCAGTCGAAAGGATGCGCTCTGCTCCCAGCCCTGCTTTCTTGATGGTATGAGGTCCCCCCCTTAATGAACTTTTTTTTCCTCCCATTAATATACTTTCATTGCAGATAAATTAGAAAACACAGATTAGCAAAAGGAAGGGGTAAAAAAGTAAAATCACTTGATACTCTGCCATTCAAAGAGAACCATTTTTAACATTTTGGTGTATTATCCTTTCCGGCTTTTTTCTTATTATTAACAAGTTTTTTTGAAATGATCTCAGACTGGGATAACTGCGAATAAATGGCTTAATATGTCCATAACTTAAATCTAAGATGTCATAGATAATATATTGATGAAACAAAGTGGTAAGATCTAGTGATAGCCTACTCAAGAGAGTGAAGAAGTGGTGCCCTTAGCAGCCATAACCTTTTCCGTCTCAAAACACTGAGGGCTTTACCAAATCCAGAGTACAGTGGGGATTCCTAACATAGTGCCTGGCACACATAGGTGATCTTCTTTTATTAAATAAAGGAGGATAATTGGTAATTAGAGTGGTAACATTGGCAGTGACGACCTCCCTGAAGGAGGTAGAGGAGGTGACAGCATTTGACTGCATTGCCAGTTGCTTCACTGGAGGACTCATGGTCCATCCAAAGACCCAACCAGTGAACGAAGAAAACTTTGGATTCTAGCATTACCACCTGCAGGGATTCAGTCATAGATACTGGCTACCACATCCTTTGATTTTTGTCTTCTGGGCTGACACAGCCTGTGGATAGTGTGTCAGCAAATAACTCCAACACATAGCTCCAAGTCATGAGGCTCAAGGTGCTCTAAATGATGTTTTAAAAATGGTCATAGTATCCCAGAGATAAGTGCATATCAATTGTCCTGAGTTAGGGACAGCTCTCACTGTACATCAGTATACATCAGCAGGGAATGCCTTCACAGCTGTTCAAAGGGTGGGGGGAAGCCCACAGGTGCTGAAGGTCTACCTGAAATTAAAGAACCTAAGTTTACAATAATACCAGTCAGCATAGTTTTTGGGATAGTAGCATAGGTATGGAGGACAGGCAAAGGGGTAGGGGAAAGAAGGCCCTGGCCAGAGTGATTGCTCTGATGTACAAGAAAGTCTAGCTGGAGAAGGACAGGGGTAAAGTTAGGAGATGACAGACCAAGTGAAAAGAGAGGAGGAAGGTTAAGCCAGAGTAGGAAGATGGCAGTTAAAATTTCAGATGTGGACCAGTTCTGGATTGTAGCAAGGTCCGAGGGTTTTTGGGAGTAGTGTTTTGAAATGGAGTAACAGGGAGGTTAGAGGACTTGAGGTGGTCAGGGAGCTTTGACCCCAGATGAAGCAAGTGACTATTAGCCAGGTGCCAAAGTTGTCAGCAGATGTGGAGGAGAGATTGATTGATCAGGAGGTTATGTATATGATAAGTGACAAGGAGGAATAAAAGATGGGCTTTTATCTGAGTGAAAGGCCAACTTTTAGGAAAGGGCTCAAAACAAAACAAAAACCCGTTGCCATCAAGTCAATTCTGACTCATAGTGACCCTATAGGACAGGGTAGAACTGCCCCCATAGAGTTTCCAAGGAGCGGCTGGCGGATTTGAACTGCCAAGCTTTTGGTTAGCAGCTGAGCTCTTAACCACTGTACCACAAGGGCTCTGGTTTCTGAAAATAGCCAGAGCAATTAAGGTTGCATGCTATTTGTCATTCTAAAACAGCCAGGCAATACTTAAACGTGCAAATGAGCTGAGAGTGCCCAACTCATCATCTTGGCAACAAGCCTCAGAAAGGGAGGGTACGTGATGAGGCCTCTATCACTCCTCACCCTCTGAGTCCTGATGGTTTGCCCATGTAGCTTGTCATGTGGGCTTTGGGGTACAAAAATGGGTGGCCAGTGCTAGGTGGAAGCATGAGTAGCCTAAGTGTTCAGCCCACCTAACTAGGCCTGCCTGGTCAGGGGGAACTGGCAGAAGGTAGGCCCTCACTTTTTTTAAACTCTTTTAGTTGTTGTTGAAAATATACACAGCAGAACGTACAGCAATCCAACAGTTTCTACATGTACAATTCAGTGAGATTGATTACATTTTTCAAGTTGTGCAACATTCTCACTCTCCTTTTCTGTGTTGTTCCTTCTCCATTAATATAAAATCACTGCTCTCTAAGCTTCCTATCTAATCTTTTGAGTTACTGTTGTCAATTTGATCCCATATAGTTTTTTAAAAGAGCACAGTGCTCAGGGCAGACATTCTTTACTAATTAAGCTAAACCGTTTGGTTTAGGAAACCCTGGTGGTGTAGTGGTTAAGAAGCTACAGCTGCTAACCAAAAGGTCGGCAGTTCGAATCCACCAGCCACTCCTTGAAAACTGTATAGGGCAGTTTTACTCTGTACTATAGGGCCGCTATGAGTTGGAATCAACTTGACGGCAATGGATTTTTTGGTGTTTTTTTTTTTTTTTTGGTTGGTTTGGTTTAAAGAACACTTCAGGGGGTAATTTTGGTTTAAGATTTAAAGATTATCTCAGGGCAATGGTTTCAGGAGTTCATCCAGCCTCAGTGGCTCTAGAAAGCCTGGATTCCATGAGAATTTGAAATTCTGTTCTGCGTTTCCCCCTTTTGATCAGGATTCTTCTATAGAATCTTTGATCAAAACGTTCAATAATGGTAGCTGAGGCCTCCTTTTTTGAGTCCTTTACCCACAATTCCAGGTGGAGGCACGCGTGGAAGAGTTCTCTGTTACCACTGCGACAGCTTCCAGAAGCGGGGGGTGACCAGGGTGTCATGTAATTGTCCTTTTTTGAGTTCTTCATCTCCATGCATAGGAAGGTGCACGTAGAAATTTTCCATTTCCACCTGGACAGTTTTTGTGGCTCTGAGAGGAAGGACATGATGTTCATGGAGCAATCACACTTAATGACTGGTCTCCTTTATCTAATGGCCTCCTGGCTATTTAGAAATTGGGGACAAACTGTGAGTACCTCATAGCTTTGGCATGTTATCTTGCAGGGCAATAGAAGGCTAAAAGAAGGCTTAGAAGGTAGGTCTGTAAGCTATGGAACAGTAGTTTTTCCTAAGATGGGTGGGGGGAGGGGTAGGAGGCAGGTGACCTGGAAGCTGACTTTAAGGAAAACTTTTATTTAAATCAGGGAGTGGGGGGGACCTTTCTGTTACCGATATGAGCATGCAGAGGAGTTTGTTTACACTGAAACAAGGTTCTGCAGGGCAGAATGGAAAGGGTTGAGAGGGAATTCAAGGATGGGAGGATGGGTCATTGGGGAGGAAGCTCAGAGATGTGTGAGGATGAGAATTGAGGAGAAAATAGATGGCCTGCGGGGTGGGGGGGGGTTGTGTGAAAAGGAGAAAATTGCTTCATAAACAGTCTAATAGACGGAATAAGTTTATTCTGCTTTACTTAAGAGAATTTCCCTGATATGCGCAGATGGTGTTTAATTTCCTTAGAAGTAATATATTTACATTTTAAATATATAGGCAGTACGTGATCATTGTTTTTAAAAATAAGGTTAATGAGGTAAGTAAAAAGAAAAAGAAAAGCCTCAGCATTTCCTGAAATCCCACTACCTAGGGTCACTATGAGTCGGAATCAACTTGACGGCAACAGGTGGGGGCATCATTTTGATATATATTGGTATATAGACTTTTTCTCATATAAGCATATACGTGTGTATTTAATTTTTAAAAATATACTCACTATATTACAGATGATTGCTTTTTTTCACATAGTATCTAATGAATATCTTTTGTCAGAATAGGTAGATTATTGCCATCATTTTTAATAGTTACAGTAATCCATTATAGGACTGTACTACCGTATTTTTATGCAAATAACGCACGCCTTCTACATTTGTTTGCCAACCGCTTTGTCCCCCACCGCAAGGCTGTAAAAAAGTTAGTATAGCCTGCTTAGGGTGTAGTTGGTGAACAAATACAGAAGTCATGTGTTATTTGTGTAAAAATACAATATATTTAATAAGCTATGTTGGGTTTTAATACTTTTCAATTTTTTTTATAAATAAGGTTATAAAGACAAACATTGTATGTACACCTTTGCATATTTATCTGATTGTTTCCTTTGGATAAATTTTATCCTTTGGTTAAATTTTCTGGGAGTCTAAGGCCAACAGTTTACTTTTGGCTTAATTTCTTTTTTGTATCATAATTTCATATTTGAATGTGATATCCTTTTTGTGTTGCTAGTTTTGGGCCATGTTTAAATATATTTGATGAACAGTGTAAAGTCAGTGGGATAGGCATATATCGTTTGCAAGTTAATTTGCCATCGTTTGATATAATTGAATAGATTTTCCCCCAGGTAGGGAAGCCAAAAACATTAGTTTGCCAACCTTTATGTTGTCTTCTCCCAAAAGGTATGTACATTTAGGACTTCAGCTGTGGAAATGAAATAATTATAAAAATTGTTTAAGGTCTTCTGTTATTAATATCATCAGAATGCATGGAAATGATTAACATAGTTTTCTTTGATTACTTTTTTCCAGGTGATTCATGGCAGGGGACGTGGAAGGATTTTGTTCCTCCATCCATGACACCAGTGTCTCTGCTGGGTTCAGAGCACTGTATGAGGAGGGATTGCTTCTTGATGTCACTCTGGTCATTGAAGATCATCAGTTCCAGGCCCATAAAGCACTCCTGGCCACCCAGAGTGATTACTTCAGGATTATGTTTACTGCCGACATGAGGGAACGCGATCAGGACAAAATTCATTTAAAAGGTCTAACTGCTACTGGCTTCAGCCACGTCCTTCAATTTATGTACTATGGAACTATAGAACTGAGTATGAGTACTGTTCATGAGATTCTTCAGGCTGCCATGTATGTGCAGCTTATAGAAGTGGTGAAGTTCTGCTGCTCTTTTTTATTAGCGAAAATCTGCTTAGAAAATTGTGCAGAAATAATGAGACTCTTAGATGATTTCGGTGTAAACATCGAGGGAGTAAGGGAGAAGTTGGACGCTTTTCTGCTAGACAACTTTGTGCCACTCATGTCCAGGCCTGACTTCCTGTCATATCTGAGCTTTGAGAAGCTCATGTCTTATTTGGATAATGATCATCTGAGCAGGTTCCCAGAGATAGAGCTGTACGAGGCTGTGCAGTCTTGGCTGCGGCATGATAGAAGACGCTGGAGACATACCGATACCATCATTCAGAACATCAGGTTTTGTTTGATGACCCCATCCAGTGTTTTTGAGAAGGTTGGTGCATTTGAAAGCAATAGACAGGATTCATCATTTAGTTAAGGCAGTATGTCTTTATAGATAAGATTCCCAGACTGATCAGGAGCCAAACAGGGAATGAATAGTTTATGTGTAAGAAGCCTAATTTGTTGTAGCTTGTGCATTTAGATTTTTTAAAACACGTTTTGTGGGTGAAAAATGAACCAGGTAGGTAGTAGAGTAGTTTCATTTTTAAAGTACTTTTAAAGTCGAAGGATAATTATTCAATTCAAAATACTACAAGTTGCTTCAGCTTTTCTTTCTTTTCACAAAGTAATTAAATCTGAACTGGGTCAGACTAGCTCTCTCCTTAAAAATTAATTTAAATAATATATGTTGAAATTGGAGTTGAGAGGAGTTTCATAGTTCTGAATGATGTATTAATACAGTTTCTTATTCTTATTCTTCTAAAATACAGTAAGGACACATAAAATAGCTCTTGAAAACCAGTAGACACTAGTGGTGATTTTCTTTTCTATCTCACCTAGTTTTGTTTCCCCCCATTTCCCTCTGAATACTAAATTTGATCATAAAAACATTTTATATGTCTGAAAACATCGTTTTGACATTTCTCAACAAACAGGCTGTAATTTCTCTACCTACATTGATCAAACATCCCTGTGCACATTTTACCGTTTTCATAGTTTTGGTATCTTAAAAATAGTCTTTCTCCAAAGCAGCCTTGGCCTTTTTGCATGGAAGCATTTTCATTTTTATATCAGAGGCTCACTTGTGATCTTTTCTTGCCCAAAGGAGGGAAAGCAGTTTCAGTAATTGCTGAACTTAATTGGTTTCTAATCACATGGTTACCTCTGGGGCTCTGTTTACCTCTTGCATCTTTTCTTCTTTCTAGAAAGGACGCTTTGGGTGACACCCTTCACGTGAAACAGTTCCTCAGCTTTAGTTACCAGATCTCGTGATAAAAATACAGTATCTGCAAAGGAGGGTTGTTTACACCATTTGAAAAATAAACAAATTTGCGCCTTTGAATAACACTCAGCAGCCTTGCATGTTTTTTCCCCCCTCTGAAATGCTGTGAAATGTCATTAACTAATACTTTTAATAGAGAACTCAATTTTATGGGATTTTATCTTTATTCTCAGAATGTATTGATATGCCAGTAGTAATTAAAACTAAAGAATACATTTCTTAATTATTATATGTTCATTGATAATCAGCCCCACATCAACTATGTAAATCATTTGTCTCTGATGTTTTGATTTTTTTTTTCCCCGTACTATTTTTATTGCTCTCTTTCCCTGGGGAATCCTGTTTTGTCTTTATACATTAAACGCAAATGCTTCCCAGTACTAAACAAACAAAAACACTGCATCTTCAGTCTAGGTGGAAGTACTTGTGGAATAGAAAATAAAATTTCCCCTCCGGTAGGGCAATACTGTGGGTAATTGACAGCAGTAAATGATTTTTAAGTGCTTATCTGCAGAGCCCTTTTATATTTTAATTATCAGATGAAGGTAGCCCATAGTGACAGTGGCTGAAAGTTAATACTATTGAGTAATTTTGTAAATCGTATTCTTTTGCATATACAGCGTCAGAGGTGGTTATTACCCCATGGCTAGGTACTGTGGGAGTCTCATCAGAATAAAAACGTTGCTAAGGCTTCCTTCTGGAGTTAATTCTTAGGAAAACTTAATAAGGACCTGGCCACAGGGAAATTTTTCATTTTTTTGTAATATAATGTAAACCTTTCAGTTTTTAGTAATACATACTGTTAAGATAAATGGGAGGTAGTCAGTGGTTCTTGCCTTAGCAGTGTGTGAGATTTTAATGTTGATCAGAGGAATCCATTACTTTCTAAATGTTGAGAAACACTGAGTCAGGCAGATCTGAGACTTAACTTTATAGATCATCTCTAGAAACAACTTAAGAAACTAAACAAAAATGAAAAATTTGGTTGGGAAGTAAGAGAGAATTTAGACTATTTTACACCATACTGTTTTGAGCTCCTTGAAAATAGGCCCCATCCTTTTTTTTTGTCTGTACCCAGCACACTGCAGGTCGCAAACAAGGACATTTTAACATCCGTTACATATGCACAGTACCAGAGAGGACACAGAAGTAAACACATCTTTGCTGGTCCTTTTCAAGAGAATCTACATGAGGGAAAGCATAAGCAGTTTTGATCTGTGATTTTATCCTATTTGCTGAAATTTAGGAAAATAGAAGATTGATAGGTGCTTTTATTTTAGCTTTAAAATTTTGTTAACTTTCTATTATGAGACATTGTAAACATAGAAAACAGGCTGAAAGAATAGTAGAATGTTCACCCATGAACCTTCCATGTGGGTTAATAGTGATTAACGTTTTGCCATATTTTTTTAGCTAGCTAGCTGGTAGAGAGTGGGTATGCCTATATGTGTAAATTATTTTGTTTCTTGCTAAACCATTTCAAAGAAAGTTGTAGACATTAAGACAGTTCACTCCTAAATACTTCAGCAAGCATAAGGATATTCACCTACATAACCATAATACCATCATTATACCTAAGAATATTAACAATAATTCCTTAATATCATGTCATATCCAGTCCATTTTCTCAATTGCTCTAAAAAAATGGTCTTTTTTAGCTGTTTTTCAAGAACCAGTATTTAATCAAGGTTCCCACAGCACATTTGGTTATTATACCTCTTTTAATCTAGAATTCTCCCTCCTTTTCCCTCTGGTTATAATGAGGATGTTTAAACATAAAAAAGTAGAAAGAATAGTATGAATAAAAACCTGTATAGTTAGCACCTAGATTTAAGAACTGTTAACATTTTGCCATATTTACTTTATATAGATTTTTTTCTTTGCTGAATCTTTGAAAATACGTCGCAAACATCATAACACCTCACCCCTAAATACTTAAGTATGCCTCTCCTAAGAATAAGGACTTTTTTTTTACCCAACTACAATACCATTCCACCTAGGAAAATTAACACTAAGATCCTAATATCATCTAAGAGTTAATCCATATTCAGGTTTTCCCAGTTCCCCAAATGCACTAGAACCAGTCATGGTTTATGCATTGCTTTTGGTTATCATGCTTAGTCTTTTTTAATGTAGAACAGTTCCCCACTGGTTTCTGTTTGTTTTTGAGAAAGATTTGACCACCTGTTGTCTCATAGTGTGTCCTACATTCTGGATTTATCAGATTATTTCCTTGTGTTGGTGTTAACGATAACTTAGTTCCCCTATTTCCTGTTAACATCTACTTTTTAGCATCATGTTTTTTTATTGCTATGAGATAACTGAGGAGTTTTAGGAACAATTACAGGAAAAGTATTGTAATGCCAGAGGAAAACTTGGAAAACCACTTAGCAGTTCTTTGATCAGACTTAGAAATCACTATTCTTTTTTTGTATTATGAAGCTAAGTAGCCCAGTCATGACTAAGACCAAGAATTTTATTCACATTATTCTGCATTGTTTCTTTTAGATTCATAAAATTTCATTCCTTTTTATGACTTAAAGCCCCTCCATTTCAATTTATTGGGATTAAAGCTAGCTGAAGTGTCCAAATTGAGAGATTATTCCTTGTTATAAAAAATTGGTATATATCGGTGACTATAATTTCGCCGTACAATGCAGTTGTCACTTTTGGCTACTGAACACTTGAAATGTCACTAGTCTGAATTGAGATTTTAAAGACTAAACTGACGAAAGGATGTAGATTATATTTATGCTGATTACTTGTTGAAATGATAATATTTTGATCTATTGGGTTAAATATTAGTAAAATTAATTTCACCTTTTTACTTTTTTAAATGTGGCTACTAGAAAATTTAAAATTACATCTTTGGTTCACACTTGTGGCTCAGGTTATATTTCTGTTGCTCTAGAAGTTCAGGAAATGAGTTCACTAGAAGCTCTCTGAGTATGCCTACAGTAAACAGCCCTTCTTATATATTTAACTTCTTGCCTGGGTTCTCAGCCTTTACAAGTGTTATGTACCAAAACCTCAAACCAAACCCATTGCCATTGAGTGGATTCTGACTCATAGTAACTCTATAGGACAGAGTAGAACTGCCCCATAGGGTTTCCAAGGAGCTGCTGGTGGATTTGAACTGCTAACCTTTTGGTTAGCAGCCAAGCTCTTAACCACTGCATCACCAGGGCTCCGGTGTTGTGTACAGTTACTGTTAAATGAGCTTACCTAACAATTCTGTGGATTTGCTGATGGAGATAATTGTTATTTGAGTATAGCATCTCTTTCTCAGGAGCCTTTCCGTGGCCTCACAAAAATAAAAAGGAACTCATGGAGGTTTTAGTTCTTTTGGCAGCAATGATCAGCTCGGAGCAGTAGCTTCATAGTATGGGGAAGGAAGAGCCCCCACTGATTCCGTGGACCTGAAGCATGCTTTCTAGCTGTGCTGAAACCTTTGGGTTTATTCTTTTTCAGTATCTTTTCCCCCTAATCCTCTACTGGGTTTTCTCCCCAACTGAAAACAACTTTCGTACTGAGTATTCTCTGGGACTATCATCAAAGAGACCAGGACTTCCAAATTTCCTCACTGAGTTCTTAGAGGCAGTGGTCTCTAAAACATCCTGTGTGTATGTGTGTATATAGATATACACACACATATACATATAGCCTAAGAAATTTAACAGCACTGAAAAAAGTATAAGATATGGGGAACTTTTTAAGATGTGAAAGCACAGTTCTGAGGTTTTCACTGTATAATCAAAGATACCTGAAAATAAATTTAAGGACCTTTTCCTTTGACATAGTTTTTAAAGACTTCCTATCATTCATTTTATCTACAGTAGATTCCCCGTTTTAAAACTAGACTACAGTTTCAGTTTTTACGTATGCAGATGTCTGTGGCATGTATTTTTACTAGCTCTGATGGTCTTTGCATCTGTTAACAGAGATAAGGCCTGACATTTGTCATTCTGAATTTCAGTGATGTGAAGATTTAAATAGTTTAAACTTTGCTTTCTTTGGTCTTGCCTTTAAAAAACAATTACTGCTTTATT